GGCACCGGGGGGTGCGAGGGGCACTGATGTGCCGGGCACCTCCCATGGAGGAGCCGCGCCCTCAGCCGTGCCTCCGAGCCCCGGCCGGAGAAGGATCGGCCCGACGGGGCTACACACCCGGGTGCGGGGAGAGGCACGGCCCGGCCCTCAAGTGCTCGGGGCTGTACGAAAGCAGACGCTCCTTATAGCCGTGCTGCTCCCCGGCCACATGCAGGGGCAGCCTGCAGGAAAGCGCCCGCGACCCGCCTCCCGGGGCTCCCGCCGCCGCCTCTCACGCGGGACCTTTTCTTTTTTTGCCAGCATCAAGGCGCAGCTAAGTTGTCCCCGGAGCAGCGGCCGCTTTTGGAGGAAGGAGCGTTTTAAAGAGGGTGGGGGAACGAGCCCGTCCCCCTGCCCCGCTCCGAGGCTGAAGGCGGCCGCCCCGGGGGCTCCGGCCGCGGACCCCCTCGGAGGAGCTGCCCCTGCCCCTGGGAGCTCGTCTCCTGGGAAGACCCGGGCCGAGCTGCTCCGCTTCCCTCGCGTGAGGCCGGCAGGACACGATCCGCAAACGCTTTGGAGTTTCTTTAGGTCCTTTTTTTTTTTTAGACGTGAAGAAAAGGCGGCAGGAGCGGGCAGGGCTCGTCCCGGGGGCTCCGCAATGCCCCTGGCTGCGCGGGGCCGACCCAGCGATGCTGCCCTCGGGGCGGTCCCTGCCGGGCGAGCCGCGAGGGGCCCCGGTCCCCTGCTCCGCGAAGCGGCACGTCCAGGAAAGATCCCTGCGGGTTTCTCTGCCAGGCGTTTGCCCCGACCCGACCCACGCTTTTGCGGCCAGGTGGGAAAGTCGTGGCGGAGGGTCCCCCACACGCCAGCGACTCATTAAAAGGCTCCCGCTTAAAGCCACCAAGGGCAGGACGGGCTCCGCTGTTTGCCCGCGCCCGTGGGAGCGGCCGCAGCCCCCGAGCGCTTCCCCCGCTGCTTCTGGAGGGGAAGGGGAAAGGGGCATCTCTCCAGCCGCCAGCTTGCCAACCCAGGGGTCCAGTGGAGCTAGCGGCCCCCTAAATGACGCGTCTCCCCCCCCCC